CCACAGGACCCTCTGTTGCTTTTTACAGATTCAGACTAACACGGCTACCCCTCTGATACTTGACACTCTAATGGATGAGCTCCACATCCCCAAGAGCACCTTCAGGGATATGTCCTGCCTACCCTCCTCTTCAGTATTACATGGAACCACTTGGAAAGATGCCAAGACACCCTTGGCTCCGCTGCCAGCAATATACCAACGATGTTCAGCTGGACATTTGGTTTTGTAAAATGCAACCAGCGCCACCACAAGGATGTCCCAGCAGCTTCAAGAGATCAGCACCAGGAGAGCAGCTGACTCAAACTGAGCTCAGGCTGGGAAGGGAAAACATCCTAAGGAAATAGCTGAAACCCAAAGCATCTCCCTCCTATCCATCTGCCTTCCATTCTTAACTGCTGCTAAGACTCCAGGTCTGTACTAACCCTGGACAAGTAGGTAGCAAGCTAAGAGACTTCTCCCCTTTCTTCCTAGGGTAACGGGTGGTATAGAAAACCCTGTGACTAGATAGACACAGGACACGTGTATACACAATTTTTCTGTTTGCAGTATAACTAGCTTGCCCTCCATCTGTCCTCCTCAGGGGCTCCCTTCTGCTAGCTGAGATGCCTGTGTGTGTTTGGAAGATGATTACAGCTAGAGGTGACTAGAATCCATCCCCCAAAACGCTCTTATAATCCAGTTAGCAATATGATCATACCACATGGCCCCACTGTTCTCCATCATCCTTATTTTTCGACCTTCTTTTAACTGAAAAAATTATTCTAAACAAATACATTGAAGCATAAACCACCAATTTACAGTTCATGCTAGAAGCAGCAGTCCTTTCTCTGGTGTGATTTCAACAAAAGCAGGCTTTAATTTAGAGTGCTGAGACAGGGATCTGAATTCAGTTTGGCAAATGGAGCTCTGGGCACATGGTTCCTATTAAGAATGTCCATCTGGATCTGCCACAAAGGCCCCATGCCTTTTGCATACATTTTGAATGATTTATCATGTACAATACAGAGGCAGAAGTTCTTCCTTCCTTCCCCACAACTGTTTAGAAGTGGTTGTAAATCCAAGGTGGTAATCATAAACCACAAGTTTGTACAGGACTCCAGAATGCCAAGACATTCCTAAAGTTAGACTCTAATCAAATTTATGGGGGGAAGGGTACATTATTGAACAGAATACATGATGCAAAATAATCTGTTCCCCAAGTTTACATCATATGTAGTCCTCGCAACTCCAGTGACCTACCATCTATTTCTGTACGGAGCCTCATTTATCTCCTTAGCATGAATGACTTGTAGCACTATGTGTGTTCACAAGAGAACATAAAATTTTATACTTTTCAGAAGTCCCTTTCTTACAAAACAGCATCGGCACTAATCCAATAATCAAACACCCACTGTTTTCTCATAGGCCTGTTAATAGGCATTTGTGCTGTGCAGTCCAGCACACACCTTCTGATTTGTATTTTAACTGATCCAGCTGATACTAGGAGGAGTTTTAAATGGACACTGAAATGACACAAATCTTTTCTACAGTGTTTCTACCTCTACGCAAGATTGTTAAAACTGAACACTAAGGTCAAATTCACTTTTCCCCAGTACTGCTTTTGGTGATCTTTCTGCAATCCACTTACAGTTCATTCAGTAAAACGAAACTGGTCAGTTTCAGTTTCCCTGCAGCACATGTTTCCTGCGGTGTATCCAGCATGGCAGGAGGGTACATTTTAGAGCAGGGGCAGGCAAACTTTTTGGCCTGAGGGCCGCATCGGGTTTCGGAAATTGTATGGAGGCTGTGCCTCCCCAAACAGCCAGGCATGGCCCAGCCCCGGCCCCTGCCCCCTATCCGCCCGCCCCACAGGACCCCTGCCCCATCAACCCCCAACACCCGCTCCCTGTCTCCTGACCACCCCGGAACCCCCGTCCCTGACTGCCTCCTGCTGCCCCATTCAACCCCTCCTCTCATTCCTGACCCCCCCCCCCCCCCCCGGACCCCGCCACATCCAACCACCCCTTCTCCCTGTCCCCTGACTGCCCCTGGAACCCCTGCCCCAACTGCCCACCGCCGCCCCATCCAACCCCCCCTCCCCCTCCTGACTCCCCCCCCCCCCCGGGACCCCTACCCCCATTCAAGCCCCTGTTCCCTGCCCTCTGACTGCCCCAACCCCTATCCACACCCCCACCCCCTGACCACCACCCTGATCTCCCCTGCCCTCTATCCAACCCCCCTCCTCACCGCGCTGCCTGGAGCACCTGTGGCTAGCGGCCGCCCAGCTGGAGACAGCCACGCAACGCGCAGCACAGAGCACCGGGTCAGGCCCCGGCTCTGCAGCTGCGCTGCCCCAGGAACTCGCAGCCCCACCGCCCAGAGCATTGCATCAGCGGCGGGACGAGCTGAGGCTGCGCAGGAGGGGGAAAAGCAGAGGAGGGGCTGGGGGCTAGCCTCCCAGGCCAGGAGCTCAAGGGCCGGGCAGGAGGGTCCCGCGGGCCGGATGTGGCTTGCGGGCCATAGTTTGCCCACCTCTGTTTTTAGAGTAGGGTTAAACCGATTGTATAAGAAATCATGTACCGAGTCACAACACTTTTTTTAAAATATAAAGGAAATCCTAATTTTTTCCCTACACAGAGCTGGGAGTGTCTCTTTATAACTCGACTTCTATTTAGTTGAGAATGGCAATGGAATCTGGGACTTGAAGAAAGAGCCCTAATCTGCATTTAATTAACTACAAAACTTTGCTCAAGCGCTTGTGATGCAGGAAGGGAGCGCATCTGGACTAAAATATGTAATTTACACTAATAGGGGTATCCAGATATGATGCTAGCCCCTCCACCTTTGGAAACTGGCTGGTCCAGCAGCTGTGACGTGTTCTAAGGATGTACATGAATGCTGCTGGGGCCAGGTAACCCCGCTCCAAGACACAGTGGCTTTACAGATGGGTTGCAAACTAGTTAGATTCAGTCTCATCTTATCTTTTCACAGAGTAGAAGGCACTGGAGAGTTCAGTGAATTGGGACTGGAACTGTGCTATGGAACTTTCCATCCTTCAGTGGCTATTTGGTGGTTTACAAGAAATGAATTCGGGTTCTCAATGTAGTTCCCAATGGACCAATATCCACTCAAGCCACCTCCATTGCACATGGCACTCACTGGCCTCCTTGTCATCAGACTCCAGAGAGGCCAAGGAAAGAACGGGCCATGAAGAGCAATCTTCCCTCTCACCTCTAGAGATCACCCTTCCATATTGGGGTGAAGCATGGTACTAAGGGGGTGTGGGGGAATCTGCCGCTGCCTGTGCTGGTCTGGATCTGGGGATACAGGACGGAGTGCAGTCGCCGGGGCTCTTAATACAGCACCTGGCACAAAGCTAAATTTTAAGTTAAAATATTCCTAAAGGAGGGTGTGTGTCTGAGGCAGGTGTGTGTGTCTGCAGGGAGGGAGGGAGGAAGGAAAGAGAGTAGTGCAAGCCTGAGATGGTGCCAGAAGCATGTTAAGGGAATTAATGACTAAAATTGGTCAACCAAACTGGTGTAACCGAAGGCTGCATTCGGCAGCGTACCAAGAACCCGATGTCTGAAATCGATTGGTGGAGCACCGGGCATTTTATAGCCACTGTCCCATTCAATACAGAAATGAAGTCCAGTCAGACCATGGATGGCAGCATGGAACGCTCTATCCTGATCTAAGCAGCGGGGCCAGGCCCGCTGTTCCCCACACGCCACTAGACAGTTCAGAACAGCTGAAGTGCACTCAGTAAATGTCCCTAGAATTGGGCATCTTGAGAGGTGTGTGTGCAGGAGTGGGGAGTTAAGAGTCCCCTGTTGGTCCAGCAGAGCCCAGATCTGTTGACCTTTGGGGCATGGTATAAACACATTTCTCTTGGCTGGTGCTCAGAGATTTAGCTTTAGTGGACATGTGAGCCTATTGCTCTGTTGTTAACTAATTCTGTGTGCTTGCTTTAGTGTCTGTACAGCAGCCACAGACAGGTTAAAACAATGAAAAATAAACAAGCACCAGGCCCTGGGGTTTCTGCAGGCTGCCCTTTCGTACTGAAGAGGATGACAGCTGTGGACTGCCTTTTTTAGAATTCCACGGGCCACAGACCACAGTGTAGCGGTCACGCCTATAGAAACATTTGCACTTCACAACTAACCCGTTACCACATCCAACACCGGGCAGAAGATGGATGTCATTGTATATTATGACTTGTCAAGCACATGGAGTTCAGCTTCCTAGCCAGAGCCATAAAGATACTAAGAGAAATATTCTCCTCCTTAATGTATTATTTTTGGGTTTCGCAACAGCCAGCAGTCTGTCTCTCAGAGCAGTAAGGTGGCAGGAGGTGGGGGAAACTCACCTTTGATGATGCTGAGGATTTCTTGGACTTTATGTGGCTCGTTGCGGTCTGGCCTGCAGCTCGGTGTGATCTCCAGCACGTAATCAGGACCATACTTTGTGAAAAACTGCAGGGAAAGGGAAATCAGCAAAGTCGTCGCTGTGCAGGGCAGAAATGGTTTGGGTGAGGTTCAAAGAGAACTGACCTGAAAACAATGCAGTAGGGGGAAGCATCTGCGGTGCGACTAGGGGTAGTGGAGACCAACTACCATCCTTGTTGTTCACTAGGTTCCAAATGTGCTCCTGATATCCCAAATAGAGAGCTTTTGTCTCTCTCTAGTTTAGTGGCTATTTCCCCATCTCTATTAAGGAGACTGAGTTTCTTCCCAGCTCTACCACTGATCCACTCATCTGTAAAATACCTCTTCCCCTCCAAGGTGGCTCACATAGCTTAATTAATTAATGCATGTGTTATGGAGCTTCTACCTGCTTGAACTCTACAACTGCTCTAACAATTCAAGTTCCATATATGAGCCATATTTTACAGCACTGCAGCTGACAAATTTTATTTGTCATCCCCCTTGGCACATCCGGCAAATCCATTTAGCATTGTTATATCACACACATTGGTACCTACACACCTGCCTGTATTAAATGAGAACACACAATGAAATCAACACTCAGGCTGGATTTCCTTGTGTTAGAGTGGTGATACTTTGAACCCACCCCCTTGCACAGCTCTAGCACAAAACATTCTTTCACTGGCATGATCCCTGCACACCGGGAAGGTGCTACATCAGATAGGAAATACAGTAAGGAACAGGGCTATGCACAAGGCTGTTAACATACCTCTCCATACAATGTGCTACAGATGTGCAACTAAGTCTATAGGAGAAAAACTGCAGTTTTTCATATTAATACAGAATACCATAAATTATTGCATGAGCACACAACACCGAGCACAGAACCAGCACGTGGGAGGTTTTAAAAATTCAGCTGGTTTTGAGTTAAGTGTGTTAAAAAAATGTATACATTTGAATTTAAACTTAGCCTAAAAGGTTGGCCAGTTTACGAGAAAGTAATTAGGCATGCAGGAATCAAGCTTATTCTATAAAATTAAGGGAAAGCCAAACTAGTTGTACTCCCCCTTGTGATTAAATGATACACAGGGGGAATATAGGAAAGGTGTCATTTGGCAGCTCATCAGCTGAGATCCCCCGTTTATCTACAAATACGTACAGCACAGGCAGCAGCTGTGAAAGCTTTCCCCCACTGAGCCAATAACGTGCTTCAATTCTGATGATCAGCAACCATCTCCAGGAGAGGAGAAGAGAAATCTCCATAGCTCAGTTAGTTCTTAACTTTCTTGGCAGCCTTGGCAAGAAGTGCCAATTGTGACAACAAATTTTGACATGGACCCCTTTTCCCTAGGACATAACTTCCAGACCACAGAGACCAGACACACAGCTAAGACTTCATTCAGTTCATTATTGACTTGGGTGGGATTTGAGTCTGTGACAGAGTTGAAAGGTTTTGTTTCTGGTTACCACTCTCCTAAAACTATCCACGTACGGGTGCTATGATTGAGGAACACAAATCTGGATAAACTGCGTTCTAAGAGAAGTGCTGGATGGCTTTACAGTGGAACAAAATTGGAGTTGTTTATTTAACCCTCCATTAAAGGATAAATATCGTATTTCAGAGGAAGTTGCAGCATATCTTTCATCATTTCATGCCCTCATTTTAGCCCATAAAACAATACAAAAGGACTAGGGCTGTCAAGCGATTAAAAAAATTAATCGCATGATTAATCGCACTGTTAATAATAGAATACCATTTATTTAAATATTTTTGGATGTTTTCTACATTTTCAAATATATTGATTTCAATTACAACATGGAATACAAAGTATACACTGCTCACTTTATATTTATTTTTGATTACAAATATTTGCACTGTAAAAAACAAACGAAATTGTACTTTTCAATTCACCTAATACAAGTACTGTAGTGCAATCTTTTTATCATGAAAGTTAAATTCAACTTTCATGATAAAAAGATTGCACTACAGTACTTGTATTAGGTGAATTGAAAAGTACAATTTCGTTTGTTTTTTACAATTATGTACAAAAAATAACTGCATTCAGAAATAAAACAATGTAAAGCTTTAGAGCCTACAAGGCTACTCAGTCCTACTTCTTGTTCAGCCAATTGCTCAAACAAGTTTGGTTACAATTTGCATGAGATAATGCTGCCTGCTTCTTGTTTACAACGCCAACTGAAAATAACATGCATTCACATGGCACTGTTGTAGCCGGCGTCAAGATATTTACGTGCCAGATGCACTAAAGATTCATATGTCCTTTCATGCTTCATCCATCCTTCCAGAGGACTTGCATCTGTGACGAGTTCTGCTCGATAACGATCCAAAGCAGAGAGGACCAACACATGTTCATTTTCATCATCATGAGTCAGATGCCACCAGCATCTGATTTTCTTTTTTGGTGGTTTGAGTTCTATAGTTTCCGCATCGGAGTGTTGTCTTTTAAGACTTCTGAAAGCATGCTCCACACCTTGTCCCTCTCAGATTTTGGAAGGCACTTCAGATTCTTAAATCTTGGGTTGAGTGCTGTAGCTATTTTTAGAAATCTCACATTGGTACCTTCTTTGCGTTTTGTCAAATCTGCTATGAAAGTGGTCTTAAAACGAACATGTGCTGTGTCATCATCCGAGACTGCTATAACATGAAATATATGCCAGAATGCGGGTAAAACAGAACATGAGACATACAATTCTCCCCCAAGGAGTTCAATCACAAATTTAATTAACGCATTTTTTTGAACGAGCGTCATCAGCATGGAAGCATGTCTTCTGGAATGGTGGCCGAAGCATGAAGAGGCATACGAATGTTTAGCATATCTGGCACATAAATACTTGAAATGACAGCTACAAAAGTTCCATGCGAATGCCAGTTCTCACTTTCAGGTGACATTGTAAATAAGACGCAGCTAGCAGTATCTCCCATAAATGTAAACAAACTTTTTTGTCTTAGCGATTGGGTGAACAAGAAGTAGGACTAAGTGAACTTGTAGGCTCTAAAGTTTTACATTGTTTTGTTACACTTTCACAAAAAAGAGATTGTACCACAGTACTTGTATGACAAGAATTGAAAAATACTATTTCCTTTATCATTTTTACAGTGCAAATATTTGTAATAAAAAATAATATAAAGTGAGCACTATACACTTTGTATTCTGTCTTGTAATAGAAATCAATATATTTGAAAATGTAGAAAAACATCCACAATATTTAATAAATTTCAATTGGTATTCTATGGTTTAACGGTGCGATTAATCCCGATTAATTTTTTTGAGTTAATCGCATGAGTTAACTGCGATTAATCAACAGCCCTAAAAAGGACCTATAGTAATGCTCATGGCAATGGAACAGCAGATTGAAATACTGATCTTCTCAGTCATTTAGACTATAATTTGAGCACTCTGCCTGTATGAACAAGACACACGGATTCCTCCTAGAATGTTAGGAGGTGAAGGTCATGTAAATGAAAGGGTCATTTTTCCTAGGGGTAAGATTTCAGAAGCACTTAAATTCCATTTTCAGAAGAGACTAAGGCCTTAAATCATTTTGAAAATTTTAACCTCGCTCTTCAATAAAGTCTTAGATTTGACTGATGGTCCGAGTGTCATGATAATAATGGTAATTTCTATCATATGCATACCTCAAATGCATATGGCATCTCCACTAGTTACATTATATCCTGAATGTTCAATGGTTGTTATAGCATACTACCATCCTAGTGGCTACTAATGATAAACTTACAATACAGTTTCCATGCACATCTACTTTCAACTGGTCCACAACTTTCTGAAATAGTCACCTTTCAAGAGCTGGACATTTCCTTGCTTGGTTTGTGCCCTGAGGTGAATTTGGAAAGGATTTTCCAATTCACCTCCGGTTCACGTTGTGGGAGAACTATGAACATTTTTCCCATGGTAAAAAGCATTCTTACCTTGCTTAACAAGGCTACAGCAAAAACAACTGACACTTGAATGGAACAGTGGTTTTCAACCTTTTCATTTGCAGACCCCTAAACAATTTCAAATGGAGGTGCAGACCCCTTTGGAAATTTTCGACAGTCTGCAGATCCCCAGGGGTCCACGGATCACAGGTTGAAAGCCACTGGTCTCGAGCCTTTGATTGGTTTGAGTTTGCAAAGGAGCTTAGTGCAATGCATGCATTAGCATGTAATAATGCGCAAAGCAAGTTATTTCAAGGAATTTACACATTCAGCTGAAAAAGCTGCTAAGCTCAATAAGATCTTTTAATTTCATTTCTATAAAAGAAACAGGAAATAAAATGCAAAACACTGCAACGTTAGGGTTGCAGAGTTAAGTCACAAAAAGTTAGAAAATGAAAAGGTTATGGTTCTAACAGCAAAGTTGCCTCAGTTGCACTATTTTCTATTCCTTTTTTTTCTGTAAAAGTATATCATGGTTTATGACATAAGCAGGGCCGGCTCCAGACACCAGCTAAGGAAGCAGGTGCTTGGGGAGGCCAATACAAAGGGGCGGCATTCCATCCGCTACTGGGGCAACACATCCGGGTCTTCGGTGGCGGGTCCCTCAGTCTCTCTCTTCCTCTTTGAGCTGCCACCGAAGTGCCGCCGAAGAATGGAGAGGCACAATTGAGCTGCCGCCGAAGTGCCGCCGACCGGCTTTTTTTTTTTTTTTTTTTCTGTCGCTTGGGGTGGCAGAAAACCTGGAGCCGGCCCTGGACATAAGTATAACATGTCCATAAAAATGAGTTATGGGCAACAATGAGGATAGTTGTAGGACTCATAAATGAAATTGTTTTTAATTGTTAAATCACCGAGACTTGCACTGTTTTAGTATTGTAATTTCTGTTTACCATTTATCACACTTGCCTACAGTGTAACTTCTGTTCACTGTTTGCCATATTGTAATTCAAACCCCATTTTAAAACGCTTACTCCATTTTGTAGGGGCTTGCTGCAACCTTTATTTTTGCAAACCCTGCTGTAATCTTATTAGTTTAGTTTAGATGTGTGAATGAGGTATGTATGGATGATGGAATCAACCTCCAGTCCCAGCCTGTCCTGATTAAATAGAGTTCAAACACCA